TCCAGACAAAAATCCTCTTATGCTCCTAACTCCTGAATCTCTCACTGGCTCTTCAGAGTTCTGCCAAACAGTCATATTCTGCACTGGGTGCCTAGTGCTGTGTGGCAAATCTCCAAAAAAAAGCAGCTACAAATGCAAACAGTGGACTGCATTTTAGAGCTTCCTTCAATCTTTCCTCTTGCTAAGTTGGGTGGGGAGCTTTTTATTGTATTTGTTTGAACTTTTGTGATGCCCTTATGATATTGTAAGCCACTCAGATTTCTTTGAAATATAGAGTGGTATAAATATATCATAAATCAATAAAATCATTGTCCATTTGTTCATTTTCAAAGCACTGCCCTTTGCCACTGCAGCTTACAAATATTCTTAATTTGATGAATACAGACACAGAACACAGTTTTTATTTGCCACACCAATTTATTTTGATTTGAACAAAGATAAATTTAACCCATATATCATATTATCATGAGACAGAGCCCCCAAGCCCCACATTCCTACTTTAGCTTATCTATTCCCTGCATCCCATTCACCCCTGCATTAAAAGCCAAATAGAGGGATTCAGGATCCTGTGCAGTAGCTCTTCCTCTCCCACCACCAGGCAAGCAACCTCCACCTCCACTGCTGCAAGAAACAGTGGGATCCAAACGGAAGAAGACATTGTTCTCTCCTAATTACTCTTCAAAGTTGAGCTCCTCTAGGGGAGGCAGAATATCACTGCATCGTGCTCTGGTTATAGTGCCTGAAAGGGCATCAAAATGCATTGATTTCTTGGCCATTGCACAAAATTTTGGGGATGCACAGCCGTGGAAATGCTCGTCAGGAATTGAACTGTTATCTAGTAAAGAAAAAGAGACATTTTCACATGAGTGCCTGGGTAGTAACAGGTGAGTTTGTGTGCAGAAGAGAGAATCGGAGTGTTTTATTGTTTATTAAGTATATTGAGCAAGTATAGAAAGCATCTCAGAACCATACATGTGATCAATTTGACACAGATGTTTAAAATTTAGAAAAAGAAATATCCATTTTTTATTATGGGACAGGGGCCTATCTTCATCAATATTGCTTTCCAGATCTGGGCTCCATGCTTGCCTTTATGTCTTCTAAAATAGTGAAAACTTTCTTTTAAAAGGCAGTTTTACACATGATAAAATGAACAGATTATTTTGCTTCCTTTCTCAAATCCCCACCCAAGAAATATGGAGTCTCATCTATATACATGCAGAGCAAAGATCATTTAACGGAGTTATAGTTTCAGAAAATTAGAACTTTCCCCTACCAACACGTATAGTGCATTTTCTGGCAGAAAGCCACAAACAGAAAAAGAGAGCAGCTCACCACCCTGTCTCCACCTCATTGGCTGGCAGTGCTACTTACCGTGAGCAACAACAAACTCTATGCACTGAGTCTCATCATCGTTACACTTGATGGTCTTTGAGCCCTTACAGGCTTTTGAGAGAGAAGGACAACAAGTTGGACACTCCCGCCCATTCAACTTAGGTTTTCCCTCTGTGGAAAACAACAACTAAAATCAACACAAGGTTTCAGCCCATATCTCCTTCATTCCTTCCTTTTCCTACATTGTAATAATTTATTAAATTTTCAAAAAATTGATATATACACACATCAATGCATAATCAATTTTTCAGACTTCCCACCCCATTTTCCATGGTGTTTTTACTTCTTCCCCTCCGCAGCACAATACCATCTGTCTCTTATACCAACACATCAATACTTTATTCTTTAATTACTTATATTGCTCATAGTTTAAATCCAAGAAAAAAGCACATCAAGAACTCAGGCCAATGTAAGTTTCAATAGTGGGAGTGGTCCCTAATCACAAGTCAATAGTCAATAGTAACAAAAACTAATCCATTCAGAAGTATGTATTCTGACAAGAATTACAAACTCAAATAAAGATTACAAATTCTAATAGAGATTACAAACTCTAACTCATAAAGATATGTATAAAGAGAAAATCTTTGTAATGAATTATTGACTTGTGAGTAGGGATCACTCCCACTATTGAAACTTACCTTGGCCTGAGTTCTTGGTGTGCTTCTTTCTTGGTATATTTAATAACAAGAACTCCAATTTATTAAACATAGTTCAAATCCTGCTCGTGAGTTCATCATACAATTTCCTTAAATAGTGTGAAACAGGCTTCCATTCTTCCACAATGCAATCATCCTTAGATTCTCTTATTTTGCCTGTTAACTTTGCCAATTCTGCATAGTTCATAACCTTACTTATTCATTCCTCTTTGGTGGTAACTTCTACTTCCTTCCATTTTTGTGCATAGAGAATCCTAGCCACTGTTGTTACATACATAAACAACTTAATCATGATTTTTTTGGAACCTCTTTCCCTATAATCTCTAGGAGAAACCTTTCTGGGGTTTTTTGTGTATAATCACTTTAGACACCTTTTTTATCTCATTTTTTTTTAAAAAAACAAAAAACAAACACCATCACTTTCTTACATGTCCACCACTTATAAATGAAAGTTGAATGTAGCAGTTTACATTTCCAACAATTATTTACAACATTTAGCCAATTTGTTAGGTTAAAAATACCATCTATACATTATTTTCATGTAATTTCCTTTTAGAGTATAACAGGCAGTACATTTCATATTAATTTTCCACAACCTTTCCCATGCATCCATTTCTATATTATGTCCTAGATCTTTAACCAGCTCATTATTTTCCCCCCCATTAAACTTGCATTTCTTGAAAAACATAATATGTTTTCCTTTCATGTGAGTCTTGATATCAGGTCCACACACGATACAAACTTCTCCTTATACAATTATTTAAAAATTCTCTATGTACCTTTATCTTAGCATACCACAGGTAAGCATGCCACCCATACCAATTCCCATGTGCTTCAAAATCTAACAAATTTGTATTCTGTAAAGATATCCATTCCTTTAACCAAATCAGCCAGACTGCTTCATAATATAATTTTTAAATCTGGCAATGAGAATCTATCTCTTTCCTTAACATCCATTAGCATTTTAAATTTGATCCTTGGTCTTTCCCCCTGCCACATGAATTTTGATAATTATTTTTTTCCATTACTTGAAGCAGTCCATGTATTACCGGGATTGTGTGAAGGAGAAATGACATCTTAGGCAAAATATTCACTTTTATCACTGAGATTCTTCCCAAAAGAGAAAGTTTCATTCTACTCCATCTCTTCATGTTTTGTTTAATCTTCCTTCATACTATCAGCTAATTATTTTAAACAGATTTGCATTCGTATTTTTTATCCAGATACCCAGATATTTCACCTTCTTTTCCACCTTAATACCCATTATTTCTTTCAGTTTCTCTTTACCTTGCTGGTTTATATTTTTTGTTAACTTTTTAGTTTTATTCTTATTTATATAAAATTCCTGCTAAATTACCAAACTGCTTTATTACATCCAATACCTTAACCACATTTTCTATCAGGTTTTCCAGGAACAATACCACATCAACTGCAAAAGTCCTCAGTTTGTAACTTTGACGGCCCACTTGGAGGCTTCATATATCATTATTTTCTCTAATATCCCTACACAGCAATTCTAACCCTAGAATAAACATTAACGGTGAAAGCAACCTTGTTTTTTTCCCCTTAGCATTAATGCATTTTTCTGATAGAACACCATTTACTCTTATGTGTGCAAATTGCTATTTATATAATGCATTTATTCTTTTCACATATCTATCCCCAAACCCCATTATAATCAGTAGTTTCCCCTAAAACTCCAAGAAATATTATCAAATGCTTTCTCTGCATCTAAAAGCATAGCTAATTGCTAATCACTTTTTCTTTTTCAAATAGCATTCCGTACAATTCTACCTTTATCTTTTATCTGTCTTGTTGGCAGAACTCCTGTCCGATCTTCATGTATCAAATTTCTTAACACTTGTTTAAGTTGTCTTGCTAATATTGTAGCCAAAAAATGTATATTTCAATTATTCCTCAGCTTCAGTTCCCTAGTCCTGTGAGAGGGTTACAACATCTCCACTGCATTCTGTTTCAGGAATTCATTGTGCTGATGGTGTAGATCTAGATATTATCTCTAATGATGAGACAGAAGTGCTGGCAGCTGGGTTATCAAAGGGGAGTGATTTTAGTTGTCACTGTGCAAATACAGTCCAGAGAAACTCCACCCAGTCTGTTGTTAAATATGTATTGTGTTTCATAGTTCAACCTAAGAGGAATAGGCAAGTAGGATTATTTTGGGGAGTGGGTTGTGGAATTTATTGCTGGGTTGTCTATGTGATTAATTTGCCACTTCTATGTTTTGTCCATGGCCTAATATGCATTATGATCCATCATTGTTTATGTAGTCTTATGTATTGCTTATTACTGTGAAATAGATTTATGTTCACTAATCTCAAAATCTGTAAAAGTAGTAGGGGGAACTTTAGCCATGGGGGATCAGGGACACTTACATGGCAAAAGAGCCATTTGTATTTTCAGTTGACTTTTGGTTTCGTATCCTATTCACTTTACTTTCTTTTTATCTGGGGGGAATTATTGGAACTTTTCAGCCTCCTGTTCCCCAAAGTTATGGTTGAGGCATCTTGCAACACCATATTAGAAGAGCCAGGATGTCATCCTGTAGCTGGTGTTCTGGAGGTGGAGTTACTACTAGGTAAACTGTGCTTCCATGTGCTCTGGCTTCCATAACAGTTTCCCATTGCACCAGAAGCAGTTTAGTCATGCTGGCCACATGATCTGGAAAGCTGTCTGCAGACAAACAGCCAACTCCCTCACCCTGAAAAGCGAGATGAGTGCTGCACCCCATATTCTATTTTGACAGGACTTAACCTTCGAGGGGTCCTTTACCTTTACCTTTTTCCTTACTATGAGGTATCATGGGGACCACCTTTGGTGTCCTCTAACCAGCTACAGGGAAGCGGTAACCTATCTTGGGCTTCATCAAAGATCTCCAATGACTTCTGTTTGATATTGATTGTCTAAGGGCAACCAAGGAAAACCCTTAAAGCCTCAATGCTATTTATGCTCAAGGATATATACAAATATGCATATACTTACTTTCACCAACTAGACTGCCACAGCTTGTAGAACGACAGCAGGACCTGAAACTCCGCAGGTAACGACCATCTTCTCTGGTGAAAGTATAGCTCTCTACAGTGCAATCTGTAGTACATCCCTGTTCACGATCGTAATAATAGGCACCTGTGAGAGAGCATTAGAAGAAATACCTAGATCAGCAAAAATTCAAATCATTCCTCTCCTGAATGATTTTTTTTTTGTGATGCTCCCTTATATACATACATTGGGCAAATGGGTGAATAAAGAAAAAAATTGGCACATACTGAATTTAGCAAGCTAATCCTTAAAGTAGTTTCTTCCTGTATCAGTATAATCTTTTCTGCCAAACCATGTGAATATTCCAGGATAGTTCCTTAAATGAGAAATTGTTGACTTGTTTTTCCTGCACATACAAAATGGCAAGGGCCTGGAATAGGTTGATCTGCCACCCATCTGATCTCCAGCTAGTTGATCCATTGGCTGATTCAAGAAGCTGTCTTATACTATATACAGTGGTACCTCACAAGACGAATGCTTCGCAAAATGAAAAACTCGCAAGACGAAAGAGTTTTTCATTTTTTGAGTTGCTTCGCAAGACGAATTTCCCTATGGGCTTGCTTCGCAAGATGAAAATGTCTTGCGAGTTTGTTTCCTTTTTCTTAAAACCACTAATACCGTTAAAACTGTGCTTCACAAGACGAAAAATTTGCAAGACGAAAAAACTCGCAGAACGAATTAATTTCGTCTTGCGAGGCACCACTGTAATATATATCTCTGAGAGTGGAGAATTCAGTTTTTTCTTTCCTCTAATTTTCTTTTCCCCTTCATCTAACTTCTGACTCACTATCTCAAGGGGATAAATCTTTTTCCATTCATCTTTTTATGGAGAAATGTCTGAATAAGTTTTCCTTTTTCATAAAAAAAAGATTTCTGAGGGTTCAGCTGCTGTCAGATTGTAACCAAAAGGGTTTGGAGCTTTGTGTTGTTACTATATATTGCAGGCCTATTTGACAGCCACTGCAGTGCTCACAAGTTCTGAAATGAGAGGTGGGGTTTCAGTTTCCGGCCTGACGTCGTGGTCATGGTGGTTGAGCTCCTCTGCCTTCCTGGGCAGGGGAGCTGCCCGGAGAGGGGAAAACCAGAATTTATGAGGTAAAATTCCTGGCAATGCTTCCCAGGGGTCTGGGGAGTGCAAGGTATCCCATGGTGTCGCTTAAACTCGTATCTCCCAGCCTGAAAGGCAGTGCGGGTGTGGCCTGGGATGTGTGTCCCTGCCATGGGCGAACCTCCATTTCCGGCATGATCTGTGATCAGTTCCTCAAGAATTCGGAATATTGCATTAATTATGGGGCGCTCCTGTAATGGCATATGATAAAGGGCTGCAACTATTCAGCTGCCAAAAGGACTGGACTTGAGCCATGACTGGACTTGAGCCTGCAACAGGAAAGAATTATGCGTAGGTGTTTAGAGGTTATCTGTTATCTGGAGGAAGACAGAAGACCAATGATTTATGCCCAATTAAGAGTTTTACAATTTTTTTAATATATCTTCCCCTCTCAACTGAAGATAAACCGATTTTATATAAAGTTTCTTTGAACTGTATGAAGAAAGCATGGATGAGAGAGTGGTTTGCTAAGGACTGCTAATTACACTTGCCATGAGTTTATAAATGGGATTTTTATTTTTGACTGTGAGCTGTGGAAAACAATCCCCAGGATTTTAATGGTGGAGAAGGCATCTTCTCAGCAGTTATTTATAACTCGAAATGTCATTGAAAAACTGAAGGGATGGTTTCAAAGGAATGGAATGGACTGAGAAAGTTGGCAATTATTCTCTCTACACTCTAAGTCTGTGAACAGCTGGAAAGGCTGCACATATGAGACAGTTATTTTATATGTTTGGAAAATAACAATGGTGCTGTCTGTAAAAAAACCAAGAATGCTAGCTAGGAAAATGGATTATGACTAAGAGAAGGTGATTAAAGAAAAAGAATGAATGTGGCAACATCAGGAAGCAATGGACATTTGTTTGTGAAAGAGCAGCAAACCTATTTATTTATTTAAAATATGTATTAAATTTAAAGGATCTGGATTGGTTAAAATTCTGAAAACTAATAAAAATTGATTTAAAAAATATATTTTAGGTTTCACTACTGTAACCACGGGACGTGGGTGGCGCTGTGGGTTAAACCACAGAGCCTAGCACTTGCCGATCAGAAGGTCGGCGGTTTGAATCCCCACGACGGGGTGAGCTCCCAGTGTTTGGTCCCTGCTCCTGCCAACCTAGCAGTTTGAAAACACATCAAAATGCAAGTAGATAAACGGTGTTTCCGTGCGCTGCTCTGGTTTGCCAGAAGAGGCTTAGTCATGCTGGCCACATGACCCAGAAACCTCTGCCAAGAAAGCGAGATGACCACCACAACCCCAGAGTCGGTCACAACTGGACCTAATGGTCAGGGGTCCCTTTACCTTTACTGTAACCACTGTTTGCTGGATCAACCTGTTCTTGCAATTTTTCCTCCATGGAATTTAGTTCAGATTCCTTTTCTTGTTTTTACCCTGAACCTGATTTGATTTATAGATTAATAGCTCCTCTAAAAATAGCAAACAAGGTTCCTTCCACAATTCAGTGTCACACCTCATCCAGATCTTAATGATATTTCTTTCTTCAACTTGAGTCATATATTGATGGATTTTGTAAAACAAATGACCATGATAAATCCATGTCTGGTTATGTTGTGGTATCTGACTATGAAATTCTTGAAGCTCATTTCCTTTCAGATATTAAAAGGTGCCCAAATTCCTGAGGTCATCACTCCTATTCATGCCTACACCAAGCCTGCAGAATTGTTTATCTCCTGTGATATTGTACCATTCTGTGTGTCAAAATATGGGGGGAGATGAATTTTCTTCTTTCTGTGGATTTTTCTATACGTAGTTTGGTTCCTCATTTATTCCGTTTTTCTATATCTTAAAATGAAAATATTTTGCTTTTAGGAAATAGGAGAGCCAAACATGCAGCTCCTCTTGGCTCTGTTCCTGGCTGTTTCTTTCTTTTTTATATACCTTGTAACTAAAAGATTTATAATCTACAGATTTATAAACTAAAACATTTATAATCTATCCCATAAAGGGAAAAAATAAAGAAAAAGCTGTTGTTAATTTAGTCCTAGTGAAGTTTATGTCAACCTAAATGTTATTCCTGCTCTTGGTTCCTAAGCATGCTCATGTGTCTCATAGGCCACAAGAGTGTGAAAAGGGAGAAAATGTTAAATATTGAATATCACTATGCATTATGCTGGTTTTGTCAATAGATACCACATAACACAAAGTAATTTCTTGGTTTTGCTAATTCCATTAGTCAAGGAAGGGTTAATTGTGTGCAGTGTGCAAGTTATGCCCTGGGTTCATCCCAAATAAAATCTTAAATTGTGAGTTTAATAAAATCACTGCAAACACCACCCATAAATCAAACATAGGTCACATTAAATACTTTTCAGGGTGGCATAAGCAGCATAGTCATTCCATGTTGTCCAACCATCATATGGTTGCTGCAAGCTGGAAAATATTGAGATGTCACTACTAGATATGTGGGAAGTGAGTCTGAGTATTTTCCCCATATTGGTTGGCATTTGTTATGTAAACTAGGTACTTCCACCTGTGTGAGTATAAAATATTCTGCCTAAAAATTAATATGGAATCATTCCTTTCCAAAAAAATGGGGGAACGATAGAGAAAATATTAATTTCATGGAACTGTATCATTTGGATTACTCCATATTCTTTTGAGCCTAGGGCCTATGGTTTTCTGAGAGACATAGCTCCAGTCTATGAACCCTTTAAATTTACCCAACAATGGGATGGGAAGCCCACTTTCCCCAAAATCTCATGCCATCTGGAAAGATGGCAGTCTTTGTCCCTAAACCCACCTCAGGGGCTTAGGGGAAAGATCAGCACTTAGCAGTAGCTTCTTGGGGTTTGCTAGATGTTTTTCTGTCCATAGGTGAACCCTAACATTGGTCATTCCCAACTGTCTTTCAACCAACAAGGGGACTGGTTGATCATTACAGTGGTACCCCGCAAGACGAACGCCTCGGAAGACGAAAAACTCGCTAGACGAAGGAGTTTTTCGTTTTCTTAGCCGCTTTGCAAGACACATTTCCCTATGGGCTTGCTTCGCAAAACGAAGCTTGCCCCGCAAGCTCCGGAGATAGCGGGGAAGCGCAGTGAGTCTTCCCCGCTGTCCCCGGACCTCTTTTGAAGCAAGGGGCAGCGGGGAGAAGATCGCTTCTCCCCGTTGCCAGCCCCGCAATCTCCGGGGACAGAGAGGAAGGCGTGCGCGCCTTCCCCTCTCTCCCCGGACCCCTTTTGAACCAAGGAGCGGCAACGGGGAGAAGCGATCTTCTCCCCTCCACCCCTTGCTTCAAAAGAGGGGACAGAGGGGAAGGCGCGCGTGCCTTCCCCTCTGTCCCTGGACCCCTTTTGAACCAAGGGGCGACAACAGGGAGAAGCGATTCTCCCCGCTGCCCCTTCCCTTGCTTTAAAACAGGTCCGGGGACAGAGGGGAAGGCGCGCGGCGCTTCCCCTCTGTCCCCGGATGGTCTCCATAGGAACACATTGATTGATTTTCAATGCATTCCTATGGGAAACCGTGCTTCGCAAGACGAAAAACTCGCAAGAAGAAAAAACTTGCGGAACGAATTAATTTCGTCTTGCGAGGCACTACTGTAGTTGAACACATATCTCCTTGTATTCATCATTGGCTGCACACCTGACCTCTGCATCACTTGTGTCTGAACCCACAAAGAGTAGACTCTGATTATGTTGCTAATGAGTGGAGAGTGACCTGCCAGTGAGGTATTGTTACTTAGGATTTGGCCACTGGGAAAACCTTTGGGGATGGAGCTGTGAGGCAAAGGCCGGAGAAAGATGAGGCCTGAATATTCATGCACAATGTATTAACAGTAATCAGCTGGTAAAGTTCAGAAGAAGGTTGCCAGTGGTTCTCTGAGGCTAAGAGGCTGCCTTGTGTAAAGGTGCGGGGTGTGTGTGTGTTGCAGACTTGATTAGTGACTGACATGGAAATGAGCTATCTTAGTGCCTTTTCCCCAACACTGGAAGCTAGTTTCCCTCCCTCTTGTCTTTCTTCTGGCAGGTGAAGACCTTGTCCCAACAGGCTTTTGAGGAATTACTGTTTTTATTGAACAGGCTGGTGCCATTTTTTATTGTAATCATAGATACATTTTACACATATTTTATATATATATATATATATATATATATATATATATTTGCTTTCGTAGATTTTCACGGGTACAGGAATGCAGGTTTTGGTGTCCTCGGGTGTCTTCCCGTGTAAAAGTTGGGGTGTCTAGGCGACGTTTCGACGAGGTCTCACTCGTCATCTTCAGGCTGGTGCTTTCGGCTTCTTGTTACTGGAACAGAGCAGGATCTCAGTGTTTGAGTTCCTATAAATACTGTTGAGGGGGTGTGGTGTATAGCCTCCAATGTTCTGGGCAGAGAGGAAGTTCCCAGGCTAGTGTGCCTTTTCTTCTTTTGTTCCTTAATTACTTGAGGGATATCTTGAGTGATTTCTTGAGTGATATCCTGAGTACCACTTAGGTGGGTCATTAGGTGTGGATTAGTTGCTAAAGCCTTCGTGTCTTGACCTCTTGAACTTTGTGAAGAGTTTTTCTGAGAAGATGGCTGTACTGCACTTAGTTGTGCTCCGGCTTGGCTTCGTGTATAGGGGCGAGCTGTGGTTTTGTGTCCTGTGCCAGCCAGATCTGTGTAGGGATTGCAGGGGGGTGCAGCATCCGGAGGTGCCACCATGGTTTGGCTACTGGATGGTGTCTGTAATTTATCTGTGGAGAGGGTCTGGGTTTGGGTCTGGTGTGGTTGATTGGTGATGGCGTTCTGTGTGCCTCTGGATCTGGTGTCGGTTTTTGTGGGGAGGGCTAATTTCCAGATGTCTGGCAGGCGGGATGTGTCGTCACGCTTGTTCATGTTGTGAGGGTGTTTCTCTATCTCGATGGCTTCCATGATTATTCTCTTGTGGTGATGTTCCATGTTAGAGAGCAATTTGGAATTTGCAAAGTCTGCCCAGCCACGTACATTGGACAAACAAACAGACGAATAAATGCACGTATCGCAGAACACAAGAATGCCGTCAAAAAAGAAGAAAAAACTTCCTCTCTTTTCCAACACATGAAAGAAACAGGACACGAAATTAATTTTGCAGATTCCAAATTGCTCTCTAACATGGAACATCACCACAAGAGAATAATCATGGAAGCCATCGAGATAGAGAAACACCCTCACAACATGAACAAGCGTCACGACACATCCCGCCTGCCAGACATCTGGAAATTAGCCACCCCAACTTAGACACCCCAACCTAGACACCCCAACTTTTACACGGGAAGACACCCGAGGACACCAAAACCTGCATATATATATATATATATATATATATATATATATATATATATATATATATATTTCTACTAATATTTAATTAATTGCTGAAAAAATGAATTCTACAACATTGGGAGAGATCAGCATTCTGTGGCTCCCCCCTAGATATCCCAGGGTCCAAATGACAGACCCACATACTCAGGTATAATCTGACAGAAAGGCTTTATACTCACCTAAATTGCTGACAGTAAAACCATAAAAGCAATTGCCACCTTCGGTAGTTACACAAGTTTTTACTCCTCTTCCTGTTCCTTTTTCTTTTGATTTCCTTACAATACATACCACAGCTGCCACTGCAGAGACAAGAGAAGAAGAAATATTCAGTGCCAAATACATCAGTTTCTCAGTCGTTGAGAAATTGAATCTACAGTCCCACCTGGATACAGTCTTCCAAGCCAGACATGAGCAACCTTATTGGTTTCAGGATCCACATGGGTGGGTTGGAGGCTGTATGCAAACTGACACACATCTTCCCCCTATCTCACACACAGGAGCATCTCCAGATACAAAGATGGAGAAACACACAGCCTTCATTCCATTTACTATTATGAATGCATACACTAAAGCAGGAACGTCCTGTTAGGATTCCTGCCCCGTGCTAGCAGTCATGGGATTGTGTGTTTTTTTAATCGCATGACAGTGTATGTTTTCATTCCGCAGTGTGGGAAGTGACGGAGACAGGATGTTTGTGTTACTGTGTTCTGTGACGTGGGACTATTGTCCTTTGTTTCTTTCTCTTTGCTGTTTGATGAGAAAGAGATGTGCTGATGCCTCTTTGTATCAGTCGCTGTGATGTTCGGGCTGGAGAAAGCTTTTGAAGCTCCCGAAGGACCGAGCAGGAGTGAGAGAACATACCAGTCGGGCATGTGTCTCTATCGGAGTCCTACTCTCGTGTAGGATGATCCTGACACATCCTCCACACAGTGAGGTGCACAATGGGATTTTAGCAGTCCCATTGAATACTTTCACATGCAGCACTCATGTTGTATGTGAAGAAAGCCAACCTCATGAAACAGAAGTACACTCCACAAGGCTGTCTTCCAAAATTTGGAGTCCAGATTCCCAGTATTCCAATAGTTTTAGCTTCATTTATCCTTCCTAGAGCCAATATCAGTTTGCCTTCTCTAGCCCGCTTCATATCCCCTCCTCCATTTGAAAAAGCAATTCAAGATTGCAGCTTCCTACTCACCTTCAGAAAGGATGGCCAAGAAGAGACAAGTACTCAGGAAGATCTTCATAGTGCTGGAGAGACCAAAAGCTGAGGAGAACTCAGTTCAAAGAAGCAGGCAACTGATGGAGGAAGAGGCTGCCTTGGGGGATTTATAGGCTAAGAAGAGGAGCCCTAGGCAGAACTGATCCAGTGAGGGAGTGGGAAATGATGACAGTAGAGATTGCATGCTTTCCCAAACATCTTGTAATTTTATATTGGAACGCAAAGCATGGAGTAGAAATTGCATTAAGTCATTTTTGGGAACTGTATGAAATTCTGCCAGCCACCTCTTCTTTTGCATTCTCAGGGATAAGAAACATATATTTTAAATCCTTAAATCACCTTTGGAAAGCCCATGAAAATTCACCAAATAACTTTCCAGTCTATCCCACCCCAATTTCACCACAATGGAAGCCACTCTTACGGAACCACTCTTCTTCAGAAAGTGCACTGAATGAATACCACTTTGAGACGATTGGAGTTTGACTGCTATTAGAATATTTCCTTCTAGGTTCAAGTGGATAGAACACACAACACCTTGAAGATACCGAGCAAAGAATTCAAAGATCTTCGTTACATAGTATAGCCACTCATGTTGTTTATGCACAGCAAAATAATTTCCCTACCTTCATTACTCGCATCATGACTCTACTAATACAAGGCTATATTTTTAATGAAGAATGCTGAATCACACCAGGAATTTAGTTATCTTAAACATATTAGTAGTAGTAGTAGTGGTATTATTAATAATTTATTTATACCCTGTCCATCTGGCTGGGTTTCCCCAGCCACTCTGGGCGGCTTCTAACAAAATATTAACATACAATAGTCTATTAAACTTTAAAAGCTTCCCTAAACAGGGCTGCCTTCAGATGTCTTCTAAAAGTCTGGTACAGTGATACCTCAGGTTACATATGCTTCAGGTTACATATGCTTCAGGTTACAGACTCCGCTAACCCAGTAATAGTACCTTGGGTTACGAACTTTGCTTCAGGATGAGAACAGAAATCGTGCTCCGGCAGCACGGCAGTGGCAGCAGGCCCCATTTGCTAAAGTGGTGCTTCAGGTTAAGAACAGTTTCAGGTTAAGTATGAACCTCCGGAACGAATTAAGTACTTAACCTGAGGGACCACTGTAGTTGTTTTTCTCTTTGACATCCGGTGGGAGGGCATTCCGCAGTGCAGGTGCCACTACCGAGAAGGCCCTCTGTCTGGTTCCCTGTAGCTTGGCTACAGCGAGGGAACCGCCAGGAGGCCCTCGGCACTGTACCTCAGTGTCCGGGCAGAACAATATGGGTGGAGAGGCTCCTTCAGGTATACTGGACCGAGGCCATTTAGGGCTTTAAAGGTCAGAACCAACACTTTGAATTGTGCTTGGAAATGTAATGGGAGCCTGTGTAGGTCTTTCAAGACCAGTGTTATGTGGTCTCGGAGGCCGCTCTCAGTCACCAGTCTAGCTGCCGCATTCTGGATTAGTTTTAGTTTCCGGGTCACCTTCAAAGGTACCCCCATGCAGAGCGCATTGCAGTAGTCCAAGCGAGAGATAACTAGAGCATGCACCACTCCGGCGAGACAGTCTGTGGGCAGGTAGGGTCTCAGCCTGCGTACCAGATGGAGCTGATAAACAGCTGCCCTGGAAACAGAATTGACCTGTGCCTCCATGGACAGCTGTGAGTACAAAATGACTCCCAGGCTGCACACCTGGTCCTTCAGGGGCACAGCAACCCCATTCAGGACCAGGGAGTCCTCCACACCTGCCCGCCTCCTGTCCCCCAAAAACAGTATTTCTGTCTTGTCAGGATTCAACCTCAATCTGTTAGCTGCCATGCACCCACCAACCACCTCCAGATACTCACACAGGACCTTCACCGCCTTCAGGGCCTTCTTTTTTTCTGTTGTCACCTGTCCTGCTTCCTTCGGAGGAATGGTGGGGTTGCAATATGGCAATATGGCTGAAAACAAAATAATGATCCTTTAAGGATTGTACGTCTAACACCTAATTCTGCTTCCTGCAGATTTTTAACAGATCTGGCTTCTTATTCAATGACAGCTAGGCACCCTCAGGAGTCTTGCAATTTGAAAAACCAGTTGAATATTCAGCCTGAGTTCCTTTGGGAGGAATGATGGGATAGATTATAAAGGGGGTTGCATAGTCTGTCAAAGTCTCCTCTCTTATGGTTTATTGAGATCCCAGATAGAGAGATATGGAGCTGCATTTGGTTCCCAGGACAGGGGATCCCAACCCTAGGTACATATTATAAAAGGGCCCCATAGTTTCTCAAACTGCTGTCTCTTTTGGCTTCCCTCAGTCAGGCACATGAGCAATTGTATTCAATTAGAGAAAATTATGAAAGCACAGTTTTTTGGCACGTACATTATGGAAAGACTCTTCTTCAGCAGGTACACTGGGTGAGCCCCACTTGAAGCCAATTAGGAGTTTGGCTGCTGTAAGAAGATATGCAGGAAATTTCAGCTGGCCAGAACTTGCATCAGCCTGCTAAATCAGGCCATCTGTTCAAGAAAACCATTTTCACAGTGGCCAACCAGATGCCTGGCATAGCCAGCAAGCAGGACTTGAGAACAACTCCACAGCTGGTTCTCAGAAGCAGACATTATGAGCCAAACTGCCCCAGATGTCAGAAATAGAACATAACCATCAGGTTTAGTAGCCATCAATACACAAATCCATGGAGGATGAGGGTAATCTGCAATTTAACACATCCAAGTTGTTGGACACCATTACTTCTTCTGATACCAGATTCCAAAGCCTAAATACATGCTGTGTGATGCAGTTATTGCTTCCATCTGTCCTGAATTTTCCCTCCTTCCATTTCATTGCTTGTCCACGAGTTCTATTGTTATGAGAGAAGGTTACTTGACAGAATGGCTACATTTCCTCTGGTATAAAAGCCAAGAAGCCTCTGGGAGTTTGCTCTGCTCATGCCTTGTTTTGAGGTAATCCCAAGGGCATCTGCTTCAACTCTCTGAGAACAGGATCCTGAACTAAATGAGCTTTTGGTGTAGTCCAGAAGGGATCCTCTTATGTCCCTGACTCCTCAGAGCATCTCCAGTGGCCTATCAAATAATACTAATCTGCCCTGGTTGCCATGAAATGTGTAGCAAATTTCCAGAAGAATTGTGCACTATACCCAAAGTCAGCTGCAGTTAAATACTTTATTCAGTATCTTTATTGTGGTCCATCGACCCATAACATGGATTCAGAATAAAATACAGATACATACAGACAACCCCCCAGGGAAGGAAGACCAAAGTGTTATTTGTTTAGTCAACATACCCATGACTAAACAAAGCACACTTGGGTCTTCCTTCCCTGGGGGTTGTCTGTATGAATCTGTATTTTATTCTGAATTCATGTTATGGGTCGTTGCACCACAATAAAGATTATTATTATTATGCATTATCAGCTTCTTGATAAGCAGATAGGGTGGGTAGATTTTTGGACTTCTTTTTGACATTTCCATGATGTTACTCAGGCTTTCCTCTGCTCCCTCTGCACATCAGATTCATAGACATCCCCAGTCCCACCCCATGCAGCTACTTCTAGCCACGAGTTTAACCTCTCAAGGACCCATGTTTGAGACCACTTCTCTCTTCTATTCTGCAGGCCTGCTTTGCACCCAATTTCACTTTCGCACCCCATGCCCCCTCCCCTTCTTTTTGTGCAACCCACTTGGAAGGGAAGCCAGCATGTGGTTGCCTCCTGTATCTTCCTCCTGCCACATATTACAACTAATATGCCCCTTCTCACCTTCCACCCAATTTGGAAGCCACCCCCTCCTATTCTGCAGACTCTTTCATACCCCTGCTTTTGTCTTCACCAGGTCTCCATGCCAGCTGTTCCCTTCTTGTTTGCTTGTTTGTTTGCTTGTTTGTTTGTTTTGCAACCCTCCTGGCACAGTCTTCTTGTACTTTACCTCCTTTCCCACTCCTTCTCTTTGCTCATCTCAACTTTCCCTTGCACACAGGTCCCCCACTTCCACTCCTTCACCTCTCTCCCACTCTGCAGTCTCCTTTGCGGAAATGTACACATACACACACACTATTATCACCTTGAAATATACTCAGAGTCAAGAGTGGATTTCATGCTCTTTATTCAGCTCATAGTGGTGAGGAGGAATGAATGTTTCCCCAAAGTATCTGCTTTATATACATTATTTACACAATGGGCTTACACATGATTGGTTAATTCCAGAATTCTCCTGTAGACCAATCAGGTTGTGGATTCACTTCCATCTGGAGCTGGATTGGGTGGTTCCTGCAGCCCAATCAGACTCAAGGCCCTCACACTGGGTCCTGTTCGCCCTGAAACCCCATATAGATGAAGAATTGGACTGACTCGTGGAGCAAGGAATGCTGCAGCCGGTGCCTAATGCCCCCTGGGAAACCCCGATCATCACACCCGTCAAGCCTAATGGTTCGGTCCGCATCTGCACAGACTACAAATGTACCATAAACAAGGCCCTCACGGCCCACGCATACCCAGTGCCAGTGGTCAGCCATGTCCTTGCCACCCTGGCTGGCAGACGATTGTGACGCACAGAGGAGCATTCAGGGTAAAGCAGCTGCCAATTCGGTGTCAGCGTGGCACCAGGCATATTCCAGAATTCTCCTGTAGGCCAATCAGGTTGTGGATTCACTTCCATCTGGAGCTGGATTGGGTGGTTCCTGCAGACCAATCAGACTGCTGCATTGTTCTAGGACCAATCAGACTGCTGCATTCTGAATCCTATTATTCTAGGACCAATCAGAGTGCTGCATTTTGGATCCTATTGTTCTAGGACCAATCAGACGGCTGCTTTTTGGATCCTATTCAACTCAGTACATAACACACCTTCACTCCTAACACACCTTAGCTGGGATTCCTGAATTGCAGAGGGTTGAACTAAATGGCCGTTGGGTCCCTACCAACTCTATGATTCTATGAATCAAGATGGTTGGGTGAAGCATTCAAAACTGCATTGATTTTAATCAAATAAGGATGTGCAAAATAAAGAAAGAAAAATATGTA